TCCTTGGTTCCTTATCACTCCAGCTGCTCGGGTTTGTGTGTTGTGGATACCGCTGTTCCTGAGGATGAGATGCCAAATGGCTGCCGCCTACACCCTAAGCTCCAATTGGATTTCAACACTTATACTAATTTCAAAATCTAAATAATTTACAAGATCCCCCTTTTAGACCCTCAAAAATAAAGAATTATGTTTTGAAATTTACTACTTGTAGGAAATCTCTCTTTTTCTGATCCCAAAAAATTTTTTTTGTCTGACTTTGTTTATATCTTAGGTGAATATCTCCATTAGAAAATGTGGACATTGGGTAATGGTGTTTTTTGTCTCTGGAGCAAAGACACAGGCCCTTTTGTTTTCTTTTCATAGTTCTCCAGATAATTTCCATTTCCCCTCCAAGTGCATTCCTTTTTTTCCCCTCTCAGTAGAAAATATTTTGAATTTATTAATTAAAGTTAAGTGTCAGAGGGAAGACGTTTGTTTGAAGGACCTTGTCCAGTTAATCAGACTGAATGGTCACTAGCTTCTGTGTCAATTTAGGAACAGAATTTAATTTTCTTTAGTCCTCTTCACCTGCAGTAGAACTTCCACTTATGATCACACCCACAATCCACTTTAATAGGTGCATCTCTCTAGTATCAGAGCGGGACACTTACGAGCTTTCTTCTTTATGGCCTAGATCCAACGTCAGAAATGTTCCTCAGAGACTTTTCCCTTGCTTTACCAAACTCCAAAGGTGCTCCGTTGGACTGATAAATGATGTTTATGAAGGTGAAATGATCTCAACACCATTTTCAAGAACCTAGTTTTAAATGACCAGGGTTATGTAACATGTCATATTCCCCTGGTAGGAGTAGCCATTAGAACAGAGGTACACTTAGGTTGATAAGGGTTGGACATGGTCAGCAAAAATACTCAGGGAAGCTGTTTGCCAGGAAAATAACACCTAACAATATTTTATAATTACCACCAGCTTTAACTGTTGATAAAGTAGCAGCCATTGAAAATGGCCCTTCCCAGCCGAATGGAAGCCGCATGGCAGCTCACTTCCCTACAACTCCCAGCAATGTCAACTCCAACTTCCTCTCTTGCATATTTTCTTTACTCTGACTCCACCCTTTCACTAAATTGCAGGGCTGACCAGGAGATGATGCTTCTCGTTAGATCTTAATGACAAAAAAATCATGACAGAAAGGATATTTTAATACAAAACATTGATGTTTAAAATGAATTGTAGGGGACAAGCCAAGGACCAGCCAAGGGCCCATCAAGGAAAGTGGGGAAATTTTGAATGACTAGTACTAGTGTTGCACCGATACCAATAACAGTATTGGGCGGGGCCCCCGGTACTGCACTAAAATGTTGGTATTGGTATCGGCGAAAAACCAACAAATAGGGCACGATTACTATTTTGAGAGCCAAAAGTTTATTCAACTACTGTCACCCATTCCAGGTAGGCAATAAAAAATTCCTGCTGGATTCACTTTGTGTTATTCTTATTCCTGCTTCACAAAGGTAGACAGCAGCCTGACAAAGCCATGATGGCAATCCATCATGGCAAGTAGGAGTGCTCATATTCAAGAAGTATGCAGTTCATCATATATAAACACACACATCAATGTCAAAGAGATGGTATCGGTATCGGCCGATACTGCACAGCCAGGTATCGGTTATCGATATTGGGCCAAAAATGGCATCGGAGGAACACTAGTTACTATTGTACAAGCAAGAATAAAGGCATGCCGTCATGTTTGACCAAACTCTGACCATACAAAATGCAGCCGCTGAAATCAGTCAGACCAAATAATATTTTTCAAATCAGTTATTTTCCATTTTGATGATCCTGAAAGAATATCTCTTTCCTTAGCCTATCTGCTTCATGGTTCAATGTATTGTGCAACCAGAGGTGGCATTCTACATACCCTGTGGTATTTGAGCTGCTGTTCCCTTCCTATCATCTTAAAACAGTCAGTCAAATTGTCCTGAAAAAAAAAAAAAAAAATGCCAGAGCAGAAATTCAAATGAATAACCACAATCTACCCATTTATAGCTTGCTGTGTATGCCTGAAACCGCTGTGTCCTACATTGATACGACTCCTAACACCCACTTCATTTCTAACTGGTTGCTGCATTGCAGGCACATTTGAGGAGGCTGATAAAATGGACACCGCTGTGACACAGGTGACTCAAAATAGCTAATGCACATTTGTAAGCCTGCAGGATTAGAGCTTTGATTCCCAGTTAGGGCAGCACTCCTGGCACACAGAGATATGTGAGAAATAGAAAAAAAGGAATTATCTGGCATTGTGAGGATGTGACAACATAAATCTGCACCATTCTGGCTGCTATGGCTGCTTTGGATTAAGAGGGGAAAAAAATAAATATTTGTACGCATTTAGTAGCAGAAACATCCAAGTGCATATTGACAGTGCAAGAATTGTTCCATATGTCATTTGAATTATTAGACATGTGCGACCGCACCAGGATGTTTTTTTTTTTCCACTTTGCACATTCTCCATGCAGGGTCCACGTGAACATGTGTCTGCCAGACCTCCAGCTACTAAAGCCTTATCGACTCGGGTCAAAGCAGGGTTTTTTTTTTGCGGTCCGTTTGTAGATTTCTTTTAATAGAAGTTTCTCCTGGCAGTTAGACGAAGTTGGACATATTTCAAAGCAGAAAGCTTTAGAAAGCAACTTAAAGTGACCCGTTAACTGAAAGATTTTCAAAGATAGAGACGTTGGAATAGATTTTAAAGCTGTCTATTCAAAGGTAGTGACACCTATAGAGTAAAAAGTTTTTTATTGTTCATGATACACCAGTGTTGGTGTAATTTTTTCTCAAAGCTCTGCTTCACCTTTTTATCATGTTGCCTGACACCTCCTTTAGTGATGGTGAATTGTGTCAATCTGACCCAATTAAGGAGTCTGATACTCTGGGAAAAAGCTTTCTCTCCATCCTGATCATACATCGCTTCTCATTAAAGTCTTCTCCCCTGAGTCTGTGACAGCCTCTCTACATCTCATTTTCTTGTCCCATTTTGTCTCTTAGAGAGCCAATATTACTCTAATTACAAGTTTAGATTATTTTATGTTCTTGGTATGTTTGTTGCCCTCCGACAGACTAGTAATTTGTTTAGGGTGTACCCCTACCTCTTGCCCATAGACCGTCGGCGACTGGCACCGGCCCCATCGTGACCCTGATTTAATAAGTGGGAAAAGATGGATGGATGGATAATGGATCATTCTCTGCTTTCTTATAGACATGAAAATACAGGAGAGGGCTAAATGAAAGATCGTGCAGTAATATTGTTTTCAAATAAAGATTTTTTTTTTCATTCTAGCAACACATCCAAACAACAACAAAAAAAATCTATGTTTGTATGTTTTTGTCAACTTATTGGGGATGGTATGAGTTTGGTTAATTAAAAAAATGTATTGTCATGTTGATTGAATTGTAAGGACTTCTTTCCGATCAGATCAAGCAATGCTGTAAATGCATAGATGAGTAGGTAATCTGTCTGGAGTGATAGAGTGAGCAATTTAAAAAGAAAAAAATGTTCAAACCAGAGAGAGTTGTAGGAAAAAATGGAGGTTAGCTGAATCTGATGAGAGCTGCTGACTAGCATGGATAGAACTATTTCAGGTGTGTTTAGTTGGTAATTGTTAAATCCATCCATCCATTATTTTTTCCATCACGCTTTTCCCAAGCAGGGTGACGAGGGGTGCTGGTGCCTATCTCCAGCTGTCTATGGGTGAGAGGCGGGGTACACCCTGGACAGGCCGCCAGTCTATCGCAGAGAAACACAGAGACAAACAGGACAAACAACCATTCACACACACTCACACCTACAGAGAATTTAGAGAAGCCAATTAACCTAACAGTCATGTTTTTGGACTGTGGGAAGAAGCCGGAGTACGCGGAGAGAAGGTAATTGTTAAATGGTTACTTTTTCACTCTGCCACAACAGGGCAAAAGTTTTGTTTCGTGTTAGCCCCATCAAAGAAAAGACATAACACAGATATTAAACATGGGGTGGCACATTATTTTAGGCCTTGCTGCCATCCAACTCACTGCTCTAACAGTTAGGGAAAAATAAATTAAATGGGGCATTATTTTGTTTCAGATGTTGGAAAAGGGATATTGAGCTGCAATGTGGGGGCGACAGTGGCGTCTGATACAGGAGTTTGCCCTGCAACCGAATTGTTGGATCAAGCCCCGGCTCCGGCTTTCAATGTAGTTATTTCCTACTGATGGTGGTCTGAGGGCCTGGGCAGCTATGGCTATGTAGCTTGCTGTCATCAGTGTTTGCATGAATGGGTGAATGTAGAGTAGCGCTTTTGGTCAAGTAAGGAGACTTAACCAAAAGTGTTATCTAAGTACGGGCCATTTAACATTTCTTTTTATATCCTTAGTACCCCTCTCAAAATGTACCCTATTGATTTATCAATAAACAGGCAGCACAAAAAAGAGAAACATAGATTTAACCCCATATTTTAGTGGGAACTGGGGCATTACTCACCAGTGGACTACCATTAGATACGCATATCTTGAAAGATGAGTCATAAATCAGTTGGAAATAAATCTAAGCATCCAGCTACAGGCTGTTTAACAGATGTCTGGAAAAAAAAATATTGATGTGGTCAGCAACAATTTCAACACTTTTCAAATCTATAAAGTTATGTGTTTAACACGGTGAGTGTTCTGTTTGTTGTTGCTTTAAGAAGTCGGTTATTAAATGATCCGTATTGTGTCAACTAATAATAGGCTTTAAATCAGAGGGACTAAGGGTACGTTTTTCTGAAAACATTTCTACACCTATCCCGGAGTCTTTGTCAGTTTTGTCATAGATATCTGGATAGGTGTCAAAATGCTTATAGAAAAAATGGCCGAAGGTTTGTCTTCAGTTTAAGCCTGTTTTGTGCCAGATTATGAAAGCTAGACCAGTTTAACATCAGTGCATCTGTCTTCAAGCAGTCCAATCACTGTAATCCACATCTTGTTCTAGATTCGTACAGAGGGACGCCTCTGAGGACGGATGGAGACACAGCTAGTTTTCAGCGAACCAGGAGAGACTGGGAGGACCAACTAAGGCACAGAGAAGTCCGCAATGCACAGGCTGACGGAGGAGTCGATATCAGTCCCCTTTCAGACAACATGACCCGTACAGTGGTGAGATGCTTCTGGTGAATTTGCCATCATCCAGTTTCTGTCTGACTGGGAGTTTAGTCAGTTTTCTAGATTTCTCAAAGTGAGACATGGCAATTATTAAAGTACTGACCAAGTACTGTCCAGCAGAGGGTTAATTATCAGGCAACAGAAAACTTTCCTCTGATAGCTGATTTGAAAGTAATCAGCTATAAGATGATCATACTAATAATCAGAATGCATTTTTGTTGCACTATTTTCTGCAGTCAGGCCTGGTGGAGAAGTTCCGTAAAAGTTTAAAAAACAATCCACTGGACTTGGTTTCCATGGCGGAGAAGCAGAAACAGATTATGTTGCCTCTCAAGTACATTAAATTCAATCTTTATATCTTCAACTAGTACCCTAAATGGATTTGCACAGTGTTGGGTGTGTCTGTGCAGTGTATCAAAAATATTTCTTTTTTAGATAAAATGCATAACTTCTAACAACGATCGGTGAAACAAATAAAATAGACCAGTCAAATTTAGTCCTCTGGAGTAACTCTGTGACATACTTGTGGTTAAACATAGACAACAAGGAAAGAAAAAAAATCTATTTTAAGTGATAAAGTAAAAAAGATAACAGATATGTGATGGTTGATTTTTAAGAACAATCAAAACGTATACATAAATGCATGGGCAAATTCTCAGTCAACCAGGTCATGGCAGCCACAAAAGAGGCAAAATAAACTTATAATTGAAAACTTTAAATGGCAACGAAAGCAAAAAACTAAAGATTTACTGAGCTTCAGAAAGAAGAAATTACAAAAGTTAAATATGGTTGGAGATATTACACATTTCTTAAAATTGTACCCAGCTGATGATTTTCTCTTAACTATGGGGATCATAAAGTTGTCATTATTTGTAGATTTAATCTTTGCATCTGTAATGAAGTTTTAAATTGTGCCTAATGTGCTGAATTCATCGTTCACCAGAATCAAATCAAGTCAAATAAACTCTTTGTCCCACCCTTTTCATCTTAAATTGAACACAAACAAAGCCATCAATTTTACACTGTTTGTTTATGCATGGCGGTCCATGAGTACGCACAGCCGTGCACACTTGTGAATGAGTCATTTGGAGAAGAGAAAAATTCCTCCTGTTTATGTAATATCTCTGAACCTAATTACCCCAAATTACCAATAAGTGAGGGCATATATAAGATTTTTAGGCTTAGTTATTGAGTAAAAATATTAGGCTTTAGAAGCATTTATGAAAAAAAAAAACAAAAAAACTCTGCTTTCATATTAAAGAGACATTATGTACATCTTTACTGAAAACAGATCTTTAAAATTGGCTTTTTTTGACCATTTACTACCAGAACATTGTTTGATGAGCAGACTGACATCTCAATAGCTCAGCGCCGATAAAGCTATAAGCTTGCAGCTTATTTACCTTGGGCCATAAGTTCCCGAGCTGTTCGGCGGATGTGGTGTCGAGTGCATCCATTTTAAATGGGTCCTACTCGCCAACAAGTGTTATATTCAAGATGGATTTTGTGGAAACTCAGAAGCAGCCGCCATCCAGCTAAACTGAGATACAAATGGCAACTCAATGTAAGGTGAAAAAAGTACAAATATAAACTTTTCAAGTGTGAGCGCAAGCTATGTGAACAAGCAGAAGAGTGCTGCTGTTCTGGTTTTGGCCACTGGTGGCAGTGCTGACTCTTTTAAAGTATGATGGAGGATATTCGCAAAGTTTTGAAAAGACCCACCCTCTCCAATTTAACAAAAAATGCACATGTACAACCCTGCACATGCTTTCAGGAGGGAACGCCTATTAAACGCATGCGGGGCCAGTTTCTCCTTGTGCACGTTCTGTTTAAAATTTGCTGTTCTCATAGCTCACTCAAGCTTACTGTGTCCGAACGTGCGCCCTAACCCCTAAATCCCTCAATCACTATATAGAGCAGGGACTATATAGTGGACTTTATAGCGAACTCAGTTAACTTACCGTTCGGATAGATGATCACTGCTTTTTGCTCTCCTTTGGTCACATAAATCCTCCTCCAATGCACGGTGCCTACACCATTCTTGTAATTAGTCGCCTCTGTCTGCTATTGACAGTGGGCCGATGTGACAGAAAATGCAAAGCATTCGGGGATATGTCTGCATCTTCTGAGTCCTTTCTTTCCTTCTTATACATCTTCGTAGACACTTTTTTTCTTACGACCCTGTCTGTCTGAAACCATAGCTTACCACGTATATTAGCCTGAAATTGCGCTTGCACAAAAAACAAAACAAAAAAGCTAACGAGACGAGCACATAGGATGTCCTTACAAATCATCCGGATTGGTTGACAATTAGGAGGACCACTTATTTTGATGATCCACTCAGAAAAAGAAAATCCTCCACTATACCTTTAACAAAAGAGGAAGAATTTGTCCTACTACTACTAAAGTTATGCATTGTTATCTAACATATGTATCAAGTTCTCTAATAACATAAACTTTAATAAAAACCAAAATCAAGGATTAATTTATGTCATTTTTTAAACACTCATAATAAAATATCCGACTTCTGTTCTTCACAGAGTGTAACAAGTACTAAAAGCCTATTATAGCTGGTAAAATAGCTAGGCTATCTGTTAAGGTAGCTATTTGGCTGCTAGCTGCCGTTTAGAAATACATTTAAAGAAACCATCTCCGTCTTGGATGTGCTGCTCCTCTTCTACACCATGGTGTGCGGGAGGAGGAGCAGCACATCCAAGAAGGACACCTCCAGACTGGACAAACTGCGCAGGTGAGCCGGCTCTGTGATTAGCAAGAAACTGGACTCTCTGGAGACGGTGGCAGAGACAAGGACACTCAACACACTGCTGGACATTATGGACAATGACAGCCACCCTCTGCACAGCATCTTCACCCCTCAGAGCAGTCTGGTCAGCGGGAGATTGCTCCTCCCAAAATGCTGGACCAACAGGCTGCTGAACTCCTTTGCTCCTCAAACCATCATCTGTACAACTCCTCACTTGGGGGAAGTAGGAGGGGTTGGAAGAGGGGTCAGGACCCCCCTGCTTGGACATCTTGTGCAAAGCAGTACCTATTGTCACTCATGTGTAATATACTTCTCTCTTACTGTGTGATAACACATGCCAACTACTGTGTAGCCTTAGTAATTCTCTACTTATTTATAAGGTCAGTACATCTCTGCAGGAAAAGTGCAATAATCCAAGTTAACAACTGTGTAGTCTCTCCTTAGCTCTCTTTATATTTAAGGGAAACATATTACAGGAAATTACAAAATATTTAGGCTTTTTGGTACCATATACACTCCTTTTATATTGTCTGTTGTATTTGTATCTTTAATGGCCTCTTACTTTACCTCTTTGTACTCTATGTAAGCTACAGGAACCAGCTGAAGGAGTAATAAGGGATATATAAAGTTGAGTCTAAGTCTACCTTAACAATGTTTTAACTTCCTTCCCCTGATTGTCTGCTTTTTGAAACTAGAAATATTGTCAAGCAGCTGTATTTTCTTTTGTGTAGCTCTCTAATATATTTTTTTCCATAAAATTAGAAAAAAAAATGGCCTACCAGGTGTTTTCTCATTAAAATCACAGACATAGCCTGATCAAGAATATTTTCCGTTTTCAAAATTTGAGCTTTTTTTAACCAGACAATAGCTGTTCACCACAAAACCAAATAAAAATTGTGAAGAAAAACCACAAAGCTGTGATGGGGAAAAAAAATAAAAACATTATTCTTTTCCTCACTTAGAAATCCCCACTTCTTAAAAGAAAAAAAAGAAAAATAGGTCGGTGTCGGGCAGTGGATATGAAAGCTAATAGTGGGTCGTTTGCTGTATGTGGAGCAGCTGTAGAGGTTGGAAGAGCTCTGCATTTAACTGCTCCACTTTCTGAGCCAAGACTAAACCCCAGAACCATCGTTCTCTGTCATCCCAAAGAGCACCATAAATTAATAATGCCATCAATACTAGACATCTTTATGGAGAGACTAGGTGTGTTGACAAGGTCGTTTTATGTGTAAACAGCTCCTCCACGTGGAAACGTACGAGTTTAACAGCAAGTCTGAGTATTTATTAGTTTAAAACCAACTGAATGTTCATAATCTTTCTCATCAGGCATCAATATTAATTTAATTCATGAACAAAGATTTTCAGAGATATTAGGGAGTATATTTATGTTTCCAAACTGGTTCTCTTAATGGGAACCCTTCATTGGTTGATGAACTTTGACCTATTCTGATTTCTTCTTCGCACATCATATCCTAAATAAAAATAAAAAGAACCATTATTGAAACTAAAGACTGATGAAGAAAATGTTACAAAATAATTAATCTTTAAAAATAAAATTTGATGCAGGAAAAAGCAGCCATCCATTTTACTAACAGTTGTCAAAAAAGGGAATAAGTTAACAAAGTTATGTACATAGGAATGAAACAATTACAACCTGAAACAAACTCTTAACTTAATGAAGACATTTTTACAGTGTTGTTACTTTACAAACCTGAACATATTTGTTTTTTTTTTTCAGTATAAGACCAACAAAATGTAGTCATACATGTACACACTTTGTGTGAAATGGAAAATGCAATTATTTTTTTTTTTTCAAAAAGTTAAAGCAGGTAAACAAAAGAAGTGATATATTCATGTGTTTTTCCCCTTCAATGTTACCCTAAATAATAAAAAAAAAAAACCTACAATAAGCTCCCTTCCTAACCCACTCCCTCGTCAGGCTGTAAAACAATCAACCACATTTGATAATCTCACTATGAACTAATAAATTCATTTGAAAATGGAGAAGGAAACTACTGTAAACCTTCCAAGATATTGGCATCCTAAACAGATCAGCTGGGCTGGGAAAGCAGTGATCTGAAAATATGCTAAGAGAGCCATTGTAACTTGGAGAAGCTGCAGAGAAAAATTCTAATAAACAAAAAACACAATTTTACCATTCTGAAAATGATTGTTAAAATGCTGAAGAAAATGAAATGTTCAGCTTTACAACTAGATCCAAATACAATAGAAGAGCTTTCCTTAGATACTGCAGTCTGAGTAACCTGAAAGAGAACCTCCTTCTTACTTAAACTTAAATGTTTTTCTGTCAGGAGGATTCCCAGAAATACTACAGCTGGGAAAGTTTTGGTCCAGAGGACGAGAAAACTGAACGCTTGTGGATCGACCTGAAGAACCTGCACAAAAGTCAAGTGAGAATCCACGGCATCCTGTCCAATACACACCGACAGGCTGCGGTGAGACGACCAGATCCACCTGTAATCATTTACTCATCTATGTTCAACCAGATCTGAGACTTATTTCCATTTTCGCAGAGAGTGGCACTTTCCTTTGATTTCCCTTTCTATGGACACAGCATCAGACAAATTATTGTAGCAACTGGGGGTAAGGTTCACTCTGTTTTTTTTATGTCTTAGGAAAACCATTTTAACACCCAATAATAAATGTACCTATGATGAATTACCATTTTTATGAAGTGTATTAAGACATTTCCTCAGTGCCTCATCTGACAGTTTCTCTTTCCCATCTCTTCTCATCATAAGGGTTCATCTTTATGGGTGAGATAACTCACCGGATGCTGACTGCAACGCAGTACGTAGCACCCCTCATGGCCAACTTTGACCCCAGCTTCTCCAAAAACTCCACTGTGAGATACATGGACAACGGTATGTAGGAATTTTTTTTTTAATTCCTGAAGATCAAGAGATTTTCCAGATTTTCTGTAACGTCTGGCCTCGTTACTCGGTTCTGGTCAGGTACCCTGTTTGTGGTGCAGTGGGACAAGGTGCGACTAAAGGACCGGGAAAATGAAGGAGCGTTTACTTTTCAGGCAGCTCTCCTCAGTAATGGAAGTATTATTTTCAACTACAGAGAGGTAACTTCTGGACTTTCTGCATTATATAGGCTTCAGATTTACTGATGTTAGAACTAATATTTGCTGCTTTCAGGTTCCTGTACCAGTGGAGAAAATAAATTCCACAGAACATCCGGTAAAAGTTGGACTCTCTGAGGCCTTCATGGCTGCTTCACAGCTCTCGGGTATTTTTGTCTAATCAGGAGCATTTTTAAACCACAATAATAAACTAACAAGCTCTTGGGCTGCACAATGAAAATAACTCATAAAAGTCTAACATTATTGTCGAGATACTTAATTACTTAATACTTAATATTGTCGAGATCTGGTTTAGATATTCACAAATGCTTTCTGTCTAATACTACTTGTGCAATGTATAACATGCAACTTACCATTTGATACCCCGTGCAATAACCTGTTTCTCTATATTTGACACCCAGTACAATAACTATATATATAAATGTCCATCCATATAAATACTGTGTAAACACCCTGTGCAACAACCCAGTATAATGATCCTATGATACTATAAAAAAGAAAAAAAAAAGAAAAAGAAACCTGTCATATGTGGACTCTCTGTATATATGCATGCACCCTTTTCTTCCTCTGGCAAATTCTTCTCCTCTGACTATTTGAGCTGATGTAACCAGTAAAGTGCTCCACTGTGAGATCAATAATGTCAATCAATCAGTCAAATCAAATCTTACTGATTACTTGAACTATTTTGGGAAGAAGAACGCCGCAAAGATTTCAGTCTTAAGATGTTCAAAGGTGACAGGGACAGCTTAAATGACCTGCAGTTTCTATTGTAGAAAAATATAGGGGGTTTCTTTAGCGGCATTAATACAAATGAAAGTGATGTAAATGAGACCTTAATCCGTAAAAAATTGAAAATTATCCAATTGATAAGATACAATAACGTGAATCTGTCCAAAAGATATGAACATTGCTGCAATGTTTCAGCTGTTCTTTCAAATTAGTTTTAACTGAATTTTTTTTCTTCTCAACATGATCTCGATAACTCATCTTTTTTTTTTATATAAAAAAATGTTTAAATGTAGTTTTGCTCCTCTTTATATCTCACCATAATGTGAATATTTTTTATCATAAATCTGTCAACCAAACCACACAATTGCTTTTTAAATAATGCTGCAAAATGCTTTCTAAGGCTAATGCTTATCTTCTTATTATTATATCAACATGAGGGTTTTATCCAGTGAGGTTAGTTTGCAGCTTGCTTCATTTTTTTTATCATTCATCTTGCAGATTCAACCCAACGTACAATCTATGAATATCATCGCGTTGAGATTGACACCACGAAGATCATCAGTGGGTCTGCGTTTGAGTTCACACCTCTGCCCAGTAAGAACTGTTGCGAACCTGACTTAGTGTGATGGTACAGCTTTGTTATTTAGTGTCCTACAGTAACTGCAGAACGGTGTGCATCTGCTTCCTTTAGCTTGTCCGCAGCATACAACCTGTGAACTCTGCCTGACATCCAACTTGACAACCGGCTGTGGATGGTGCAACACACTCCAGCGGTGAGAGAAAACAGTTTGTTGGTATTTATACCCTGCTCTAATGTGATTCTTTCTTAACTTTCAGATGTTCGGATGGTGTTGATCGACATAGACAAGAGTGGTTGGATTACAACTGCCCTGAGGAGGTGAGATGCCCTAACGGTTGGTACATTCCAGAGGTAAATGGGGTGTTTGAAACCTTTTTTTTTATCTGTGTGTTACTACAGTCTAAAGGTAAATGTGAGGACTACAACCCAATATTACCTGATGCAACGATGAGCTCGTTCAATAACTTGTCCCTGGAACCAACACCTTCGTTAGCGGACCTTGGAGAGCAGCCTGTCACTAGAGGTGAGTTTCTGTCTTGGAGAAATCAAGGAAGACACGATGATAGAAATGTTAGCATTCAGTCAACGTGTGGAGAAAACTATGCAATGATAGTGTTTTCAATTTTACAACTAATCAAGTTTTTTTTTTGTTTTTTTTAATCTAAAATCTACAGTTATGGCCAGACTGAGACTCCACAATATGATTAAAAGTCAGAAAAGATGTGGACGGTCTCTGCGCAGTTATCGACAGGCCTTCAAGGCTACTTCACATAAATAATAATTTAACTTTATTGATCTCACACTGGGGAAGAAGTATCTCTGCATTTAACCCATCCCTTTGGGGAGCAGTGGGCTGCAATCGTGCGGAGCCTGGGGAGCAGTGTGGGGTTAAGGATCTTGCTCAGAGAGCCAGAGTGGAGAATATGGAGACTGAACCAGGTACTTGCAAACTTCTCAAAGCACAAGTGCACTGCTGTAAACCACCAGGCCAGCTCTCTCCAGTGATGGAGAATGAAAGCTGAGAAAGAAAGCTGTTCTGCTGCTATGATCAAGCAGCTGGAGCAAATCTCGATACTTGGTGTTCCTTCAGATAATTTATTGTAAACCTCTTTGGGGCAAAACAATTCTAATTCAAAAGCAATTCTGTTTGTATAAAAAATGACCTCACAATTATGATGAATACAGACCCACGATCAAACACCTTGCAGACTGATGTCTGTAAACATTCCTCCTTTTGAAAATGGATTCCCTATGAAAAGGACGTAAACCTCAATCCTAATACCAAAAATAACTTGTGGATTTGGATCAAACATTTTGATGAGCTCACAGTAAAGTACTGAAGTTTGCCTGCATGTTTCTTTATAGCCGCACATGCTAATTGATACTTTTATGAGCCTGATGCTGGTATGTGAAATGGGTATGGAAACCAGAGATGAGATCCAATGATACCAGTTTACTCTTGCCACTATGTAAAATCCATGTGTGTAAAAACACTCTACCCTCCAGTAAAGCAAATAAAAATTGAGACTTATTGGATTTTTACAGAGTCAGTTAGATGTTTTGGTAATTTTTTTAATATTTGAGGGCCTCCATGTTGTAAATGAGACTCACATTTTGAATTGGTGATTTGAACTACTGTATATTCCAGTTATACACTATTTCGCCAAATGTTTTCGCTCACATAGGAGCTTCAGTGACGTCCCATTCCTCTTCCATAGAGGTTCAAAATGACCTCTGTCCACGCTTTGCAGGTAGAACAGCTTCAGCTCATCTGGGAAGGATGTCCACACAGACTATAAACTCTTCTAACCTCCTGGAAGGGTTTGGTAGTGTTTATTGGAATTTATGAGTACTCTTCCAAAAAATGCATTAGTGAGGTCACACACTGATTCGCTCTGCACCTTGCTTTGTGCTCTGCTGCACAGCCATGTTGGAGGAGGAAGGGGCCAGATCCAAACAGTTCCCTCAAACCTGGGAGCATTGTTCAAAATGTCTTGGTCTGCTGAAGCATTTAGAGTTACTTTCATTGGAACTAAGGGGCCAAATCCAGCTCCTGAATGGTAAATGGCATGTACTTATATAGCGCCTTTATTCAAGTCAGGAGACTTGACCGAAGCGCTTTACACTACATTCATTCCCCCATTCACGCACACACTGATGGTGGCAAGCTACATTGTAGCCACAGCTGCCCTGGGGCTCACTAACAGAAGCGGGGCTGCCGTATACTGGCGCCACCGGACTCTCTGACCACCATCAGTAGGCAATGCAGGTGAAGTGTCTTGCCCAAGGACACAACGACACTGAAAATGGGAGTCGGGCTTGAACCATCAATCCTTCAATTTCAGGGCAAACTCCTACATCCAACGCCACTGTCCTGAAAAACAACTCCATACCATAATCCTCCTCCTCCAAACTTTACACCCGGCACAATTCACGCAGACAAGTATGGTTCCCCTAGCAACCGGCAAACAACAAACTTAAACTTGTCAGTCAGATTTCCAGATGGAGAATCGTGATTTTATACTCCGATGGCCATGGAAGGGATTTAAATCGGGTTCCAATAATTTTGATGGGTTAGCAGATACTTTTGGCAATGCAGTTAAATTTTTTTTTTTTTTCTTGTTCAGACATAGACTCCAGCCCTCCAGACCATACGGGGATTACAGAGAACACACCCATCATAGCTGGGGTAGTGGCTGCATTAGTTCTGCTGGTAACATTGACCTTACTGGCAGTTTACTACATCAACACTCACCCCACCGTTGCTCCACCGTTCTACCTCATGCAGGTAAGGAAAAAGCCCACAACAGAACACTAGAAGACACAATGATCTTGCCTCCTAATGATCAATTTCCGTTCTTTTTCTTTAGCGACGCACAAATAACTACTGGCCCTCCATGAAGTTTCGAAACCAGAGCTGTCACTCCACCTACGCTGAGGTCGAACTTGGTGTTCACGAGAAGGAAGGTTTCATTGAAGCAGAGCACTGCTGCTAAATGCCAGGGACTTGTAAAGAAAGCGTGCCATCTTGAGCAATATAAGGGTACTAAACGAGAATTACAAAAACAGACTTTGGGATACAAGACACAAGATGTCCTTACTCCAGCTTTCGTGGTTGGAAAGTGTTTACTGTACCTGCTCTTGTAGCTCTTCCAAGCTTTCTCCGTCTATTTTTGCTGTTTTGCCATCACACAGCCATGTTATCCAGTGTTTCGAAGGTTGGACAAGATAATAATCTTCTAGACATTTTGATGGAAGTGGCTGGCAGGGAACAAATCAAAACAAGCCTTCATACTGCAAACAAATGTACATCTTATCTTAATCTACATGTTTCTGTTACTATCCATTTTATGGGGTGTTTTTGTTTTATGAAACTTCTGTGCCGATTTGAATGGTTTATTATGACGCTATGTGGAATTCTCTACAACAGTTATCTAGCTTTACCACTGATAGTGAATTAAATGATCATCTCAGATTTTTCTGGACAACTATTGTATGAATGGATATTAGAGTAACCAATGTATGAGAGATTTCTTTCAAATTTACTGTTTCATTGTCTTCTAATAAAAGCTGAAGGACAACACAGTTTAAATGCTATTATTATATTATAGTAGAGTGTCATGAAATAAAGTGTATTGTAAGGTAAATATATTATACCATAGCAAAGATTGTAGAAAAGATGTAAGCATGTTTGAAATACAACTTTAGGAAAGACGTTCTGAGAGCTAAATGTTGAATTATTATGAACATGGATGTTAAATATGCTTGTGTGTAAAAAAAAAACAAAAAAACAACAACAACATAATCTTACTTTGATTATACATAGCTGCAAAAATAACCTACAAATGGGTATAATTATTCTAACAGGAAACATCTGAATCTAAAGGGAGAAATTGAAAAGAATGGATGATTTTTAAGTTCCAAACTGTAACATGGGATAAAAGGTTGTAGGTTTGGATGTGTAGGAAGAAATAAATAGAGACAGCTCCAAAACCAGTTTTGCTGTCTACATTGAACTCATCATTACTGACAGAGAGGAAGATGACAAAAAAAAGACAGATTTGTTTTTAAACTAACACCTTCTCGCTTGACTTAAATAAGGAGCTACTCAGGAAGACAAATCAAATGTATTTTGGTCAACAGATTTTTTGGTAAATGAAATGTGACGTAATCTCAGAGTTGTGTGCAAATCCTGGTACTTCAAAGTATAAGAGAAAATATAAAATACAAATATAGAAAAAATTACAAAATTAATAAGGATTTTTGTTTTTTTTACAATGGGTATTGCATATATGTAAGTAAATGAAGAACTTCCATTGACAATATTAACATTTTGCTTTATTTTTGTCCAGATCTCCAAACAGCTCATTTTCATTGTTAGTGATCAAAGAAATTACTGGTGTAAGAGCAGCAACACTCTCACAAAAATATAAGTTAAGTAGAAGTTAAAACTTCTATAAGCTCTCTTTTTTCTTAAAGTTACTCAAGTAAATTTAACCATTTAATTCCCACCTCTGACAGAAACAACACATTCTCAAAATCTCAAAATATCATTCCTCGTCTTCCCTCTAAGGGGATTGCTTTTATCAGTTTAGTACTCATCAGCATGAGGTAACCTACACTGAATCTGGTTAACTGGACCAAATTTGGTTAAGGACCAAAATAAAAGGTTAAAATTTATTAGATAGTTTTAAGACAACAATATATGGATTAATTACATTAACACTGACATCCCTGAAAGTAGTTAACTTCGATATAAGATTAGATGAGCTTTATTGATCTCACAGCGGAGAAATTCACTTCAATTCAAGTAATAAATAAATACATACATCAATAAATAAATTCAATGTATACATCATGCTTTAAGCACATTGTTATATTGTAGTCTGTTTGATAAATTTATTAAATTAAGGTGATGGTCCAGATCATAATTTAAAGGAATAGTACACCCAAAACATGATTAGCCTTCATTTTCTACTCACCCCCATGCTGAACAACACTCTGGAGTACTTTTTTGATATCTCAAATGCATCTGGAGATCTGGGAGGCTTCTTGCTGTCTGCTGACATTCAAATAATGGAGGTCTATGGAGCCCGAGGCAGAAAGGTCCATAAAAGTCCAAAAAAAACGTGTCAATATTCCTCCATACTGCTCGTCCAATGTATTCCAAGTGTCCTGAGTGGGTAGCGTCCATAATTTACTCGAAACGAAGTCATTTAGAATGTTTTTAGAGCATAAACAGTAGTGTATAGGATTTCCTGAAAGCGCGTTCACGACGCTACGGAAACCGCGGCAGACCAACCCAGACGAAACTGCGAATTCAGCTCGGCAAAGAACTCATGCTCTTCCTCAACACTGAAGTCCTCAGACATTTTTCTTTCGTTGTTTCTTTCTTTGCACAGGTAAACAGCACATTTCTTCTTCTACGCTTGCATTATTGGCAGAGCAGACGCTGAATGCGCACTTTCATCTGGTTTGGTCTGCCGGCTTCCGTAGTGTCATGAACGCGCAGGTGCGCGCTTTCAGGAAATACTATACACTACTGTTTATGCTCTAAAAACATTCTAAATGACTTCGTTTCGAGTAAATTCTGGATGCTACCCACTCAGGACACTTGGAATACATTGGACGAGCAGTATGGAGGAATATTGACACGTTTTTTGTGGACTTTTATGGACCTTTCTGCATCGGGCACCATAGACCTCCATTATTTGAATGTCAGCAGACAGCAAGAAGCCTCCCAGATCTCCAGATGCATTTGAGATATCAAAAAAGTACTCCAGAGTGTTGTTCAGCATGGGGGTGAGTAGAAAATGAAGGCTAATCATGTTTTGGGTGTACTATTCCTTTAAGATTTTCTAACATTCTGCGATAGCAGTTCCCCATTTAACCAGAGGGTGGCAGCAGTGACTACTGATAGCCTCCGCATTGAACTCAAAAGTCTGGAGGTATTTTACTGAAGACAAAAACACAAGAAAAGAGAATGCTGTTTGTTTTTTAGCCGGCTCAACTGAAAACTTATAGACGGAATTTAGGGATTTTTTTTTTTTACCAGAGGTGTTCCTAATGCGAAATAAACAATTCATTAAAATTTGGTTATGATCCAGATAATGTGCAAGTTTTACATATAGCTGTAACGATCATCAAATTGCCTCCAATTTTGGTCACTCCTTGGGCCGGAAAATCCAGGTCCCAACGTGCTCAAAATGCAATGTCCAGATTGGGAGATAAGTTTGGGAATGCTCCCATTTCTTATGCACACATTGAATACTGAAAGCAATCCAAACTCCTGGGTGGCAGTCTATGGAAGCAAGCAAAGGAAATGGTCATATTGGTCAATAGGTTGATATAATGAAGCTAATGAGTATATAAGGAAGAGCAGTAAAAGAACCATGTGACCTCCTCACACACTTCCCACACTGCCCTTACCTTGACACGTGTAGATTTCACCCGCAGCGCCACCAGTGTTAGAGCAAGAATATAGGTCAGAGACAATTCACATACAAACCAAATACCACCACCACACCCAACCAATGTATTGAAACTAAATAAAATAGACCCAAACTACAAATGGCTCCTATAATAGGTGTAAGTCACAATTTAGGGCAAAATTTGCTGTTTGGAGGAGGTCTGCCCTCTTTGCATTTTTTCTAGTTGAACACAGGGTAGGATCTAGGATTCTAGGAGGTCATATGAACAGTCTGCCATATAAAATGAACTACAGACATCTTGGTTTAATCAGTATAAAACCAACAGATTGCAAAAAAAACGTTATTCACTCTTGGATGAAACAAAAGGCAGGAGTGAAAGCTGTTTTAAATTTATGCTGGTATATAAAAAAAATACCCATCTTTAAATATAAACCAATATAGTCTAAATATGCAGTAAGAGCTAAAAAAAAAAATAATAGTAATAATTTCTGTAACAACACTAGTGAGCAATATCCTAATGTGATGGATAGAAAAAGAGGAATTGCATGACAGAAATATTCTAAGGTCTATGTGCCTTTTATCTCGGTCTTTATAAACAAATTAATATTAAGAATATTACATTAATTTTGGATATAATATAAAGATTTATTTAGTAAAAATGTAAACATTTAATGCCCACTATCCTGAGGTAGAAGAAATAAAATCCTTAAATTTAGACAAAATATGCTGCAGATGCTGGTTTTTTTTTTGCCACACAAAAGCTCTCTCACTATGATCAGATGGGTAACTGCGCTGAAGTTGGTGTCACAAAACAAATACTTACATTTCAAAACATACAAAATTAAAATCACTTATTTGTTTACGTGTTCCATGGTGGCTCTTTCTGCCTACTACTGGCCACAGCGACAGAAGTATTAGGCTATTATTTTTCTTCTTTCTGTAGTATGTCAGCTTTCTTCTGTGACAACTCAGTGTCATCGCTAGTTGGAAATATAATTTAATATTGTATTGCGGCTAATTTCTTATCTGATTTGATTAATTCAGACAATTTTGCGGTCAGACAGTTTGACATACAAAAATAAATGAATCAACCAGGAACCCACAACATCAATCAAACCAAACACAAATTTCCAAACTATCTAAATTCACCTATTCCTCAAGTAAAAATGATTCTCGACTTGATGAGAATCATTCAGGAAGAGAGTCGGGAACGTCCAAGTGAGGGGATGCCACTGTCACTGAATAAAAATAGAGTGGACTGGATTTGGACATAATTTCTTAAATAACCAGAGTTATCCATCACTGTCTCACTCAGGCAACCTGAACAGTGCAGTTTGCATCCCTCAGTCAGAACACTGCTAATTTTACCTCCTCTACCTTCACTTTAGGTGGGGTCAACAATAGAAGACTGTCATGGAACACTAGACAACAGGCACAAACCCAACAACTAGACAGTCTAATTATTGAGTTTGCAGTATTTTTTTTGTATTTGCAGTGCACTCACACTCCTTGGCTGCAGTACAAAACAAATCCACTTTAGCCTAATTGTAATGATTAGCAACCATAGCCCTGCCTTATGAGTTCTAGAAGGATGAGAGAAAAGAAAACGTTCATAATGTGCTAAAGCAAACATAATGCATATTAAATTCAACATTGAAAAGATGTTAAATTTGAATTAGGTATATATTAAAGAAAGTTTTCATTTTTTTGTAAGGAGATAAAATCCTTATTTTGTGTTACGATGTGCAAAATCTGAAGGAGAATGTCATACTTTGATAGAAGGATATGAAAGGGGACTTTATGAAAAGGACAATAAAAGTTAAATTTACCCTAACAGTTAATGACACATTTCCATACAGGCTTCTGACTGGACAGCGAAGGGAATTAAAGCAATTTCGGTTAACGAGTTTTCCATTTTTTTATCTACGACAACAGCAATCCCCAAAAATGATTATACAAGAAACTGAAAAAAAAAGAAAAAAGGGGGCACCCGGATTTGAACCGGGGACCTCTTGATCTGCAGTCAAATGCTCTACCACTGAGCTATACCCCCGTGGTGAGAAACCGTGAGACCTGTGTCTTTATAAATAGTATAGATTGAGTGTTTTTGCTTATTAGTTTTATTAGACGTGGTACTACGGCTCTCCGACTTTCATTTATTTCTTCTGTTTATAGGTCTTTACCTCATTTTATGGGCACCGTCGCCACGTCGGCGCGTCCACCATGTTACGAGTGGCTATGTAAAGTAGCTCAAGACAATGCTATTATTCACGTCCTGCTGATTTTGATTATCTTAAATGTAGACTAGTAATACCAAGTATGCTTTTATAGCAATAATAAAAAAATAAAGGAATAATATAGGAAAGCCGAAAAAGATGAGTACCGGTATCTTTATTCTTTTTTAGATTTGGTTACAATTACAGAACACTGTTTAGCTTCGTCTGTTTTCTTTAATTAGCCTGAACCGGGCATTCATCTGTTATCTTCCATTTCTTAAATTCACATCCTCCAACCAAATAGACACAACCAACGGCCACTCACAACATGACGCTAAAGTAACGTGTACGTTGAATAAAATAACTGTTTACGGGTGAGACTGTTATGCGTCGTCTTTTCCGGCCGAGGGCGCCATTTAAACATTATATCAACCAATAGAATACTACGATATTGCAACATTCAACCGCTTATTTTGTCCACCTGCCGTTATGCTATTTACAATGTTACGTTTTATATGTTTAATATGTCCGTATAGAGTCTGTATATATGAACAGCTTAATAATAATTGTAATTCATATTTATTATCATTGCAATATTAAAAAGTTCCTTTAAGGAAAGGCCGAACAGACTTGACTCCTCCTACCTTTATTACACTATATTAACAGAAATGCCTGCAGACAAAACGCAGGAGCAGTAAGGGATTTTTTTTATTTTAAATTTTTGCTTTCAATCAAAGATTTTTTTAAAGGTTTATTTTTTTGTGTAAAGATACGCTGATCTGACATGAATCCACCGTGTGGGAGATGTAATAAACAAGTTTATCCAACAGAAAAAATAAACTGCCTGGATAAGGTAAGATCATGAAAGTCAAACTTCATTTACTGATCTTTTGTAATGATCAAAGCAATTTTTGTGGGATGATTTTTGTTTATATTCTGTCCCTGTAGGGATCATTCTTCCATTTGCTGTTAGGTGAAGTTTTTGTTGTAAATATAAAAATGTACCTCAATACCCAGGGAAAATGTTCCCTGAGTCGCAAAAATGTGATCAAGTGCAACACTTAATGTGATAAATAATGGTAGATATGCAACAAATGAAAATATATTACAAAAAATAGCTGCAAAATCACTGAAGAGTAACTTCTGTTTCATGATAAAATACAACTCAATATTTATGAATAATGTACTCAGACAGAGGCAAATCTTAAATTATGGGAAACTTGTGCCATTTTAAAGGCACACACATCTAGATAGATAGATAGATAGATAGATAGATAGATAGATAGATAGATAGATAGATAGATAGATAGATAGATAGATAGATAGATAGATAGACAGACAGACAGACAGACAGACAGACAGACAGACAGACAGACAGACAGACAGACAGACAGACAGACAGACAGATAGATAGATAGATAGATAGATAGATAGATAGATAGATAGATAGATCTCTATCTATATATATATATAGATAGATATAACTATCTGTCTATAAATAGATATATCTATCTCTATCTATCTCTCTGTATATATATATATATATATATATATATATATATATATATATATATATATATATATATATATATATATATATATATATATATATATATATATGTATATATATATATATTAAATTTTATTTTATTTTTTTTTTTTGCATTACAAAAATGTGCAGATTAAACACTTTTTAAACCTAATACATTTTAAACCAATACTAACACTATTGTTATTTTATATATGTAGAAAAAGGCAAAGCTTTGACAGGGATAATGCTACAAGTTACCTCAATATGGTACAGCAGGTTCAGCAGATAGAAAATTTAATTTAAGAAATGAAGCTTGTGTAAAAAAAAAAAAAATGGCTTTAGCACAAAGTGCATGTTTGCATTTTTACTTTATTTTTTCAGAGCAAAGCATCAGTTCTTCCGCCATTAAATCGTATAAAGTTTTTTAAAAGCCCGTAAAAAGCACTAAAGTAAAATTAATTCTATAGCAGTTAAAAACAGATGATAATATAAAAAAAACAAGATTATAGCAACAGGTTTGGTTATTGAAATGAAATGAAAGCTACTATAAGTCAATGTTTTTAAATTAAGTCTAATAATGAATGTGTTGTTTTTCAAGAGTTGTGCAAAACTTTTTCTTTGATCTGTTTACATGTTTTTTTGTTTGTTTGTTTTTTTAGTATTGGCACAAAGGTTGTTTCAGCTGCGAGGTATGCAAGATGGCTCTGAGTATGAACAACTACAAAGGCTTTGAGAAGAAACCCTACTGCAGTATGTGAGTGAATCCGTGAACACTGAAACCCAAAGATCTACAGTACAATTTAGTCAAGTTATTTAAATAATTCTGCAATAATTAGAAAATGGAACATCGCAGAGTTAAAACCTTGAGATAATATGTTCCATATAAGATTATAGTGGTGTTAGGGTTACAGAGGGGAAAAAAAGCTGTTTGAACACAAACAAGGTTATTTACAAAGAGCTGCTGAAAATATATCATCTAGACAACATTAACCGAGGGTTGATGCGTCTTTTAGACCGTGTCTTGGTATTTTAATGGATTAGTCTGTTTGCTTACATGCTAAGCTAAACTGAACTTTGGTGCACACACTTTCCATGAGGACCTTATAGCTCATAGACCCTATAGGAAGTCTCAACATGAAAGTGGTTGTTTGCTGATGCTGAAAATCACTCACACTTAATGGCTCTTGGTTCTTGTTATTTTTATTGGATGTTTATGATTTTTCATCCTGTATTCAGAACCAAAGTATTTCCAGGAAGAACAAAATTAGGCTGCAGGGAGGATAACCAGGACTGACCTTCCTTCTATCCATGACTTGTATGGACTGAAGGTCAGGAAAATGGGAGCTAAAATCTCTGCAAACCTCACATATCCTTGGCATAAGATGTTAAGACTTTTGCCTTTAGATCGTAGCTACAGAGCTCTATTTATATATATAAAAAAAAAGCCTCCAAAAGGATAGTTTCTGTCCTTTCTGTATATCAGCGTGTCTCTCTGAAAAACACTTAACAGAATAGTGTATATATACACTAATATAACCACAGATTTCTTTTTGTACAAATAGGTAAATATTTAGCTTATTCTTTCTTCATTAAAAGCAAAATGAAACCCAAATAAAATTCCTTGTTTCTAAAATAAATAAAATAAATAAAGCAGATCTTGGTTTATTTAGATCCAGAGATGCTTTTTATTTATTCTCTGTGTTTATTTATTTTTTTAAATCTTTTTTAGGCATTACCCCAAAACCTCCTTCACCATTGTGACCGACACCCCTGAGAACCTGCGTCTGAAACAGCAGACTCTGCTTAATAGTCAGGTGAGATCAGGCCTCATATTCTGCTTTATCACAGAGATGGCAGAAAGCCGATCGCCTGACAGATGAAGCAGTTGAACAGTTTAGCTCTGCGTTCTCTGTTAATTAATTTAAAAAGTCAAAATAGGAGCTGCAACCTGTTTTTTACTGGGAATAAATCCCAGAGATTCAGTAATTTATAGAGATAATTTTTGTGTCCTAACTGCTTTTAACGTCAAACGGGTTTCCTTACAAACTCTGCTTTTAGTTGATTAACTGCTCTTTATATGTTGGCAGCTCAAACCAGCTGTATTTTCTTTGTTTCAAGCTTTGAATTTATGCAGAGCCTGCCAGTTAATTAATGTGAGCCCAACGATAAGCCTTCTTAGTGACATGAATTCAAAAAAGATGCTCAAATACACAATGTTTATGGAGTGAATTTTGTTCCATTATTGTTGCAAGCAAACAAGAGGTTTTAAAAAAAATTGAATAAATGGAAATCTGATATAAAAGGAAATCTGAAATAAATGCAATACAGCAATAAATCTTTAAAAAGATTTATAACAACAACCAAAAAAAGTGCATGGGAGTAAATTTCACTTCTTCAGATCAAGATTTATGAATCTCTGTTTTTCAAATCGCATTTAAAGTTGTAGGGAAGCAGCCGTTCCATCCGTTGCATTTCCGAATTCTCCCGAGTGGTGCACGACTTTACACGAGTGAATAAAGTGAATGTGATTGGTCGATTATCAAGGGGGCGCGACTGTTGTGATGGAAGGTTCGCAAACATGTTTGTTTGTTGGTTTGTTGGAAGCATCTTGCTAAATAGGTAGCAACTTAGTGCTAGTAGGGTCCCAATGGAATTTTCAATTGGGACCAAGTAGCACTAAATTGGTGACTTAGAAACGACACTGTCAAGGAACGCTATGGACAGCGGAAACATGCAAGAGGAGGAGAGTTTAGGGTCGGAGGTCGTGGATGAGTCTCCTCCGTCATCCATTTTTTATTTAGAGGAGGAAAGCGGGGAGGAAGATGTTGTGGAAGAGGACGCCAGGGCGGCAGAAGCTTGGTTTGGTGTAGAAGGCTTCCAGCCGTACATGTTTGAGCCCTTGCCTCGCAACGCTGAAAGTTCTGTTAGTTCTACGCCTGCTGAAGACAAAGACTCAATGGGAAAGGAAATTATTCTGATTTCTTATTTCAACCATTGCGTATATTAGCTGCTACATATGATTCAAGATGCTATGACCAAAAAAATTTGATTGACAGATGACCGTTGATATATGATTGGCCCAATTTAGGTGTTCAGGCTGACGTGTAATTAACTGGCCTGCATAAGATAACGAAGAAAAAAAAACACAGATTTTAGGACAGGGTTTTTTTTAAATAGAACATTTCTAAATTTTTGGACAATTTGATATTTAAATATAATTTCCGTACGACTTTAATTAAAGATCACATTCTTTTCACTTCAAGGCAAATACAAATGGTGTTGCTAGTTTCCATGCAGACCAATAGAAATGCATCTTTGCTCCTCATTCCAGATGAAAGTCCGTCCCCAGAGGTGAAGAGAATATGATCTGTTAAAAAGAACAATCAAAAGATAAAGAAATTAGAAACAAAAAAAATCTTGTTGGGTGGGCCAACCTCATAATTCACCCTTTTGATAAAGAGCTGGAATTAACTGTGTAAAGATATGTGACCCGATACCTTAATTGATATACTGAAAAGGTGCTGCATGTCAGAATGAATGAATACAGTTGCAGCTGGATGTGCTTTGACACAGCTGTCTAGATTTGTTTAATTCCCTGCATATTCTAACTTGTGTTGCTTCTTATTTCGGACTCTTGAGAACAGCATGTTTCTAAGCGCTGCTGTCAGGAGCAATGATCATGATTTTACGTCTGACTGGCAATTATGGAATTTGCTCATTTAATTCAGTTTCTAATGCCGGACAAAATTACAAATCCCTAAAACTGATAATCAGTAACGCTAAAAAAAAAAAAAAAACTATCTGACAAAGATCACAAAAGCTTTCAGTAGTGGAAAGGTGATCTGAGGACACTGTAGATAACTGGGTTGGCAGTACAGAAACACAGATGGCTCCTTCTCCTCAGTAGCTTATGGAACTCGTTTGGACCAAAACACAAACAGCTGTAGTATTTCTTCTGGCAGCTGTATTATTGGGCTCTGAAGTTCAGCACATTGATAGTGAGTATGAGTTACTGTTCAAGTTGGTTCTGTAGGGTTTAAAATGATAGGGAAGTGGGAAAATTGACCAACTAAGGGAGTTAAAGAGGAAACTTGTAGAGTAGGGCAGCTCCGTGTCTCCAGAGGAGTAAAACATTGGAACGGAAGAGGCAGCAGATGTAAATGGTGACCTTAAGTCATAACATGAGGTTGGGAGTAATGCAGTACATCTCCAGAACATTAGCAGGAGGTCCTTCCACGTCTGAAGCTCTATATTTGCACACAAAGGGCATTTGTGGTGATACAGAAACAGCAGGTATCAGGATATGCCTTCTTGAGAAGGAGTCTCTAAAAAAAAAAAACTGAAAATAGGCACCCGAGAGACACATGGTGAATCCTTTTTATCTTAGTTATATTACAACTACAAGCCTCAGTTTATTTTATAGACATAACATGAAGCAGTGTGTAACCGTAATGTGGAATTACTTTTTCTATCTGTCAACCAAATAGAGGGGTAAATGATCAGGGTGGTTACCCTGTCCTGCTATGGACAAACCTGCAGCCATGTTCCAAGTCCTTCTCAGCCTCTTACAGGTTCTCCTCCAGTATTTTCCTGCAATTACCTCCATCCAAGATAAAACGATTGTCTGTAAAGGTAGACAAAATCTCATAAATTAAAGTATTAAATAAACACAACACTGTAATTATTTAGTGTTTCAGGCTTAAATGAATCAGTATTATTTGACAAGCCCCTCTGATGTTTCCTAAGGATTAGTTTTGTGGAACAAAATGGTCCAAAAACTCACAAAACCTTCTTTACAAGATGAATCACTAGAAAAGCTGTAATTTGGATTTAAAAAAAGGATTTCTGACAGACAAGTGAAGCAATTCTTCTGATTCTACCCAGACCCAGAGCTGCTTCCCCCATTTCTCTCATCTGATCCAAGAGCTTCATGTCTTTGTTTATAACCATAAAAGTCCCTGCAATTGAACTCGCTCGCTGGGGCGTATTCCTCATAGCAAGAACGTTACTCACTTGTGTTTGTGCCTTTGGAGATATGTGTGTGTGCAGAGTGCAGGGATCTCTGATTTTTCATTTTTATAAACATTTTAATTTTGTTTAACCCTGTAAATGTTCCCTGTGATGATGTTCCCCTTATGCTCCCAGGGAACAGTGACAATTTTATCTGCATTTATCATCTAGTGTGAAATATTTGATCCAAATATGCCCTAGCTGATATTAACGCATCAACTTTAAACACTAAAGGTTAACTGCAGCTAGTATTCTAAATGTTGTAAATGATCATTTTATAGTTTATCTTCAAAGACTTTTTTACTTTTTCAGAAATATGAATAAAAGCCAAAAAGAAAAGTAAGCCGATTAAATGCATCTGAGAACACAGCCAATATATATACATATTTAGTTAAGGGCTGAAACAATTAATCAGATTAATCGATTATTTAAATAATTGTCAACTAATTTAATAATCGATTAATCATTAACTGGAGTATAGATACATTTAAGATTAAAAAAGAAAGTTTTCATCTGTCAATATGCTCTATCCAAAGCTCCTCAAGTGGAAAAGTTTTAGTTCTACCAAATTAAATTTCGTCTTTAAGGAGCCCTTTGGAATCCGATTGTTTATCGATAAATCAATGTAAAATTGGACAACCCTTTGGCCTAATTGTCGATCCCTACAGCTGGCCCTGCTCTGAGCTCAAAGTGACTTTAACAGGTTAGACTCTATGTAGGCTAAATGGGTTTCTGTTGTTTTTCAGCAGACTCTCAGGTTCGTAGCTGTGCTATACTTTACATGGAATAGAGCAAAAACGAAAAACATTGTGTGGTTAAAAGACCAATTTTTTAATTTACATTTTTTTCAAATATTACATTTGTTTCCAATAGAATTGTAATTTACCTTGATTGATATTTTTGTGCTTAAAATGGGTTCAAGATATTTTAAAGTATTAATATAGTGAATAATTCTAAAACAAATTCCCAAAATGAAAAGAAAAATCCCCTGTTTTTCCTCTTTTTCACTCACTAAGGGAAAAAGCTTAAAATAATGACTGCATGTAAATATTTCAAGAAGGAAAAAAGAAAAAAAAAAGATTACTTTTGACAAATGAAATACTTTCTCATTGTTTGCACCTCTTTTGGAGCTTTCAGCCTCTTGATTGCTCCTGGTTCTCCAATTATTTCTTAATTGAGATTTTGCTTTAAATTTCCCTCAGCAAGTTCAGATGATTAAAAATAAATAAATAAATAAAACAGACTTAGATCTGGCACAACAACAAATTTAACTGAAGCAAAAATGGGGCTCAATATTGACTTCTTCATATTTGTTCAGTTTTTATGTGTCATTGTCACAAAAATATAAAAACTTATCAGTCCTAAAATTGTTCCACTCTATGAAGGATTTTAGAAGTTGCACATATGATAAGTCTGTCACGGTTTTACCACGGGAAAAAAATAATAAACACTGTTTTTTATGTTAAGTCAGGAGTCTAAATCTCATTTTTATATTGGGTCGCTTCAGCATTAATAAATCTTTAAAAAGGCAGCTTGCAGCTGTATAAAATATACATTTTATATAATTTAATTTACATAGAGCACACTGCTCTGGTATTATAACTTTAATCCCCTTTATTTAACAGTTTTATCCACTTTAAAAATTGCCATGCCTGTATTTTAATGACATATGCTTGTTTTGACTCTGGAGGGACTGATAAACTGCCTTGGTGGGCTGGATCCAGCCCACAGACCTGGAATTTGACACTTATGTTGTAGATGTTCACAGAAAAGGAAGTTTCACAAAATGGAAAACTATGATTTTTTATATTTGTAGGGGAAATACTGTAATATATCAGAGTGCTAACCTACAGTTAATCAAACAGTAGTGAGGATACTAAAGAGATGTAAAAGACGGCAACTAATAAAGCAGCCCTTCATCTAAAAGAAGATTGGTTTTTGCAGGCCCTTTACAAGGAGGAGTTTGAGAAGAACAAGGGGAAAGGCTTCAGCGTGGTGGTCGACACACCGGAGATGCAGAGGCTGAAGAAGACGCAGGACCAGATTAGTAATGTGAGTGCAGCTTCCCTTTTACCAGCACAAAAAAACAAACAAACCAAACCTCGTCTTTGACTCTGCAGATATTAAAGATAAAGGTTAGGTTTAAAAAGATCATGAGGCAATAGGCCTAGCTACCAGCGGTTGTAGAGCATGATCATAAATCAGTGACATAAAAAGTAGTAGTAGTTTTTTTTCTATAATTAGGAAAAGTTTGGAATTGAAGTTTGATTTTCACACTAAGGGCCGGATTTATCAAGATCCAATTTTGCGTGTAATTTGCGCTCGCAAACTGGAATTTTGCGCTAGGGGCTGAACCATGGTTTGCGGGTGATTTAACAAGAGCGATTGCGTAACTGGTGGCAGGTGCAAAACTGTTGGAGACGCCCTATTTAAATGATGGTTTTGCGCGTTTTGTGGTTTGCGGCAAAGTAGTTTGTAGTTTGTGCAAACTAGTGCATTAAGAAATGTTAATCTTACAGTGACACCCCCAACCCCTCCAAAAGAAAAAAAATTATATATATATATATATATATATATATATATATATATATATATATATATATATATATATATATATATATATATATATATATATATACATACACACACACTTTGGTAACCTTTATTTCCTAAGATGTTATGTGGCTGAATTTCTACTTCACTGCAGTAAAAAAAAAACAAAAAAAAAACAGGTGTTTTATATTGGCCTGTAGAAAAATGCACATACCAAATGGCTCACAATGGGACTGTGGATGAGATTACTACGCATCCCCGCAGCATTGGCATGTTGCTCTACAGGCGAAGAGGTCTGGTTTCTCCGTTAGGGCGTCAGGGCGACATGGCATTTAGAACGTCGGACAGCACTTCTGAAAAACGAGATTGGGAGATCCCAGATGCAAAAAAGTGCAATGTTGCAAGGAGTTTTGTGATATCTGGTATTGCGTGGGTCCTCCTTGTGGCTGGCTCCAAATCCATTCGGAGTTCCCCCAACAGCTCCAAAATGGCAATGCTGGATAAACGAAATGTTTTGATGATCGTTTCCTCTTTCATTCCAAAAATATTCACACGGAGTGCAAAAATGCGTTCTCTGCGTCTCCTTGCTTCATTTCGATGTCTCCTTCTTGCGACAATAACCGCTGCCATGTGTGCGCAATTACGCATACAGGCCATTTGCACCTTCTTTTGAAACGTGTTAAATATAGTCAGATACCGTTAGCAAAATTGTTTTTAGGTTTGATAAATCACTTTGCGAGTGCTAAATTAATATATTTACATGTTCTCCTCCCACAAGACGCACTTTTGCGTGTAAACGCCCCATATTGCATATTCATTGCAGAAAAAGTACTAAATGGATAAAAGGCGCTATTTAGCACGTTTTAAAGACCAAATCCTTTTAGCACGCTGGTGATAGATCAGTTTGTACATTTTTTAGCGTGCGCAGTGAAATAGCTCACGTTTTTATACACGCAAACCTTTGATAGATCCGGCCCTAAGTAGCTTTATTTCCACGTTTCTTCCAGTTCAGATCAGTTTTGTATTTAAAAAAAAGGCCAATTTACAAAACATGTTCTCAAAAAACTTTACAAACTTAATGAAATCATACAAACAGATTGCTTTGAAAGCTTTTTAAGGATCAACCACATCGATTGCATCTAATCATTGACAGAATTCACTCCTCAGGGAGCATGCAGAGATAGTATATAGTTGCTTGCACTGTGTTGAAGCACATTTTGAGAGAAAACACATTTAACAGGAAGAAACCTCCAGCAGAACTAGAACCTTCTGCCACGACCGACTGGAGGTTTGAGCAGACTGACCAGACACACAAAAGGAACAAAGAAGCACTTTCCATTTAAGAGAAAATTTATTCTTTTCACAGTTGTAGCTCCTGCCACTTCATTTAGGAGACAGGCACGGCTCAGTAGAGCTCCGAGTCAGTTTTCAAGTTTTGAGTATAAAGAGAGTAGAAAAAGAGAGAAAGTTATGAACTGAAAGACAGAACCAAGTGATTCATAGATAGAAATTGAGCATGACCTTGCCTCCCTCCAAGATGATGTCAAAGCTGAACACAACCCCAGGTCAGATAAAGCTACAATGAAAATAAAACATAAATGAGAGAGAGAGAGAATGTATCAGACTGTCCTCCTGCAGTCAAAGCCTATAGCAGCATAACTATAGCTCATCATAACCTAATGCCTTTTGGCTATAACCTTTATCAAAAGGGAAAGTTTTAAGCCTTAAAAGTAGACAGGTCGTCTGCCTTATGGATTACTGTACAACTGGTTGTTGGTTCCATGAGAGAGGAGCCTGATCATTAAAAGATCTGCCTCCCATTCTACTTGTAGATATTCTAGCCATGGGTAAACTTGCAGTTTGAGAGCAGAGTTTTCCATTAGGAACATAAGGAACACCAGATCTTTGATATCAGACAGCGCTGGGTTGTTTACAGCTTTTTACAGTGGGTACCGAAAGTATTCAGACCCCTTCAAATTATTCACTCTTTGTTTTATTATCATCAAATTTATTAAAAAAGAAAAAAAATGAAATATCACATTGTCATAAGTATTCAGACCCTTTGCTCAGTATTGAGTAGAAGCACCATTTAGAGCTAGTACAGCCATGAGTCTCCTTGGGCATGATGCAACAAGTTTTTCACACCTGGATTTAGGTATCCTCTACCATTCTTACCGCAGATCTCTCCAGTTCTGTCAGGTTGGATGGTGAGCGTAGGTGGACGGCCATTTTCAGGTCTCTCCGGAGATGCTCAATTGGGTTTAAGTCAGGGCTCTGGCTGGGCAAGTCTAGAATGGTCACAGAATTGTTCCCAAGCCATTCCTTTGTCATTTTAGCTGTGTGCTTAGGGTATTTATCTTGTTGGAAGATGAGCCTTCGGTCCAGTCTGAGCTCCTGGGCACTCTTGAAGAGGTTTTCTTCCAGGATATCTCTGTAGCTGTAAAACACCCCCATAGCATGATGCTGCCACCACCATGTTTCACTGTTGGGATTGTATTGGTCAGGGGATGAGCAGTGCCTGGTTTTCTCCACACATACCACTTAGAATTAACCTCAAAATGTTCAATCTTTGTCTCATCAGACCAGAGAGTTTTCTTTCTCATAGTCTGGGAGTCCTCCATGTGGTTTTTGGCAAACTCTATGCAGGCTTTCATATATCTTGCACTGGGGAGAGGCTTCCATCAGGCCACTCTGCCATAAAGCCCCAACTGGTGGAGGGCTGCAGTAATAGTTGACTTTGTGAAACTTTCTCCCATCTCCCTACTGCATCTCTGGAGCTCAGTCACAGTGATGTTTGACTGGACGGCAAGGTCCAGGAAGAGTTCTGTTCATTCCAAATGTCTTCCATTTAAGGTTTATGGAGGCCACTGTGCTCTTGGGAATCTGGAGTGCTGTAGAAATGATTTTGTAACCTTAGCCAAATCTGTGCCTTGCCACAATTCTGTCTCTGAGCTCCTTGGGCGGTTCCTTCAACCTCATGGTTCTCATTTGCTCTGACATGCACTTCTCCTTCTTCTTCTTCTCATGTTTTTTATTGGTGGATGGTAACCAACTTAAGGTGCATTATCTATCAATCAATAGCTATACCAACTCACATATAAATTAACATGTGTGAATATTCACATGCATATACATATTTATATTCTTTATTTAAATACGATTAAATAATCCAGTGTTTTTTAAAAAATCTAATTAACTGATTTCTAGCAGAATAGGATGTATTTCCTAGAAGGTTTGCTCTGACATGCACTGTGAGCTGTAAGGTCTTATATTGACAGGCGTGTGCCTTTCCTAATCAAGTCCAATCAGTTTAATTAAACACAGCTGGACTGCAGTTAAGCAGCAGAACCATCTCAAGGAGGATCAGAAGAAATGGACGGCATGTGAGTTAAATATGAGGGTCACAGCAAAGGGTCTGAATACTTATGACTATTTTATATTTTAGTTCTTATTTTTGTATAAATTTGCAAACATTTTTACAATTCTGTTTATTTCTGGCAATATGTGGGGGCTGAGTGTACATTAATGAGAAATAAAATTAACTTTTTTTGATTTGAGCAAATGGCTGCAGAGAAACAAAGAGTGAAAAATTTAAAGGGGTCTGAATATTTTCCATACCCACTGTATATAAGAAGGAGGATTTTAAATCCTTGTCTGGATTTATCATCGGGGAGTGCGGGCTTAGGGGTTAGAGCGTGCATTTGTGCTCTGAGAAGGTTGCAAGTACCTGGTTTGATCCCCACATCCTCCACTCTGGGTTCCTTAACAAAAACCTTAAGCCCACACTGCTCCCCGGGCTCCGCACGATGGCAGCCCACTGCTCCCCAAAGGGATGGGTCAAATGCAGAGAGTGAATTTCCCCATTGTGGGACTATCAAGTGATATACATTTGTGTCAGGAAGCCATTGAAGCCAAAACAGGAGAAATATTATCTTTTGAATTTCTATTAAAACTCTGGCTGCAGCATTTTGGATCAACTAAAGTTTAAACTACAGTTTGAGCAAATACAGCGATTTACAGCATCACCCCTGGACAAGATATTTCTATTTTTGGCAATGCTCCCTGACCTAATAGAAATATGTCTGCCCATTCATCCATGCAGTCTATGCTTTTTTGTGGGTTTGCATTTACAAAAATATCTGTGCTGACATTTATACTATAAAGTTCTTTTAAAAATCTGGAGCTGCAGAATTCTGCTTCGGGATAAGGGGAACTTTGAAACATATCTATGTAAAATCCAAGAACAGATTGCAGAGAATAAAGTCAGAGTGTATTCCTGCAGAAACACAGTGGAACATTTCTGACATTTCTCCTCGTCCGCCACGGAGCAGCTGCCCTATATGGTCAAAGTCTCTCAGCTGTGGACACAAACTCAACTGCTTCACACACACAGACACACACTTTGTTTTTCTCTCATGAGAGCACTAGTTGCTGAAAGGAATGGTAGGCACTGAGCTGCATGTCAAAAGGCCATAATCTTGTTTTCTTTCTCCATTTCCTTGTTTTTCCCACATATTGCTACTCTTTCCCCTGCAGAGTTTTAATGTTGTATCTGTTCCCTCTATGTTTCCACTAACATTTTCTGTGAGCTACAGTCGCTGCAGCTGATTTATAATGCAAATATTTTCATTCTTCTTGGCTTCTCCTAAAATGGTTAACAATTCACCTCAAAGCCAAACCTGTAGAGGGGGATACAGTTCGATGTAAGCAATAACTGCCCCCATGTGGATAAAATGTGTATTTGTTTGTGCAGATAAAGTATCATGAAGAGTTTGAGAAAAGCAAGATTCGAAGTGATGCTCCTCCTCCTGAAAACAGACAAGGTGGGTGATTTCTGTATTTATCATCATTGTATTAACATAAAAAAAGAATAATGAATTTAATGTTTGTGTTGATGCAGAACAAGAACTGCAAGCACTAAACCCTGACAGTTTCTGCCAGCCTGCTGGACAGATGCGCCCTGCTGCTGCATCTCCCCCTAGTGGAGGGGTAAGGCAATGTCAGGGACTGTTTAAAAATATGTTAAATAATTGGTGGTGAAATTGTATTGTAACATATATTTATAGCCTAATTTTTCATTCCTGTTTATTTGTTTGTGTACAATGTTTATCTTTGATCAAAAGGCTTAAACGTGTTGCGTGTATTTATATTAATTCACCTTTACACCCATGAGCAAATTCAGTGCAACTGACATGCCGTTTGGAGTTACCTAATTATGAGCAATGGTGGAAAGTAAAGTAAATTTACTTGATTACTGTACCTAAGTACCTTTTTGAGTATATTTACTTCACTTGAGTCCTATTTTGGGGGGGGGTATTAATAAATTTCACTCCACTACATTTCAAGTAAGCTGCTAGTTACTTGTTACTTTTGGCTCAGATTAGATTTGTAATCCGCTATTGCTGTTTTTCTTTCTTGAAATATAATTTCAACATGCAAGATAGCAGAAATTAGGACTGAATGTCTACATCGCTTTTTAGAGATTTAATGACATTCCACAAATGTGAAAAACTCATATCATTTATAGTTTACACATTTCATTATGGTGTTGGTTGTTGCCATGTAGCCAAGTTGTTCAATAGGATAACTTCTCAGAGCAGAGTTGTAGTTTATTTGTGGTAATAGATTCTATTCCATAGTGAAAGTGTCAGGAGAATTGAGAAACTTCTGTTTTCTTTTTGGTTTGTTTTGAATAAGATTAGTAATCAAAATAGCTGTCCTCATTTTTTGTGCAATTTTTATGCTGATGTTCTTTACAGGTTGTGTACAATTTGTAGCAGGTTGTTCTACGCATCAGTACATCAGGTTTTTTTCTGAAAGTTGCAAGGTTCTTTATAATTACTCTGAAAATTATACTAAAATGTACTGATATTAGATTTTATTTGTATTTTTGAATACTTATGTATTTTCAGAGGTGGGGGTTTTCAGAACTTTAACTATACTTTACTTGTTGAGTAAGATTTGACTATTAGTATCAATACTTTTACTCATTTACTACGGTTGAACACTTCGTCCACCACTGATTATGAGGTAAAGTCTGACCCCGAGTAGTTTAAGGCCTGAAGGACATCTTTATTGAAAACATGGTGAACAAACTGCATAACGCAAGGAATGCAGCAGGCAGGTCAGAGATAAAGATTTGGAGATGCTTAAAGCAGGGTTAGGTTATATAAACAAAGCCACAAGACCTCACTCTTGTAGGTTGATTCAAGATGTGCATGGATTGATTGCTTGTGCCATAGGTTGAAGGAGTGGAACTAAGACAAAGACAGACTTTTTTTTCTGTCAAAATGTAATATGAGAAAATAATGCTGACAAAAGATGAAATAGGAATCCTTTTAAAAAAAAGCCGTTTTGACTGTTGAATCATTCATAATCTGTCATCCTCCCTTACCTCCAGCACAGACCCAGAGCCAGTCACTACTTTCCCCAGCACTGGTGCTCCTAATGGTGCGCCCAGGCAAATTAAAGGAAGTCCTGCCAAATCTGACCATCATCTAGATGCAGTTCTAAGAACCGGTTGTGGTACTCTATAAACTGGTTCTGTCTCAGGAGAATCAATTGGACTCAGACATAGACGATGTTTCCACAGGAAAACAACAGTTAGTCACTTGATAAAGTCCTCGTCAGCCATATTAATTAAAAACTGGCAGAAGACAGAAGTTCGGGTTCCTCCTTTTTGATGAAGAGGTCTGCTGTGAATGCTGTGCCTTTTTAAATGCAGTGGTCAACTCCCCGTGGTGCAGGCAGGAATTACTGTAGAAACAGTGGTGGGTGTGAACGCACCATAAGAGCTCCTACAGCTGATGGCTGAAATCAGTCTATTTTGGGGAAGATTTGCCAATTAGCCCGCTTCTAATATGTCTCTGTTTTTAAAAGCAAAAAATGAATGTTATAAAGTGATTTTTTTAAATATATACATATACTGTGTATATATACACATATAAATGCAGTGTTGTATAGTAAAGTAAAAATACTTTACTACTGTACTTAAGTATATTTTGGAGTACTTTATACTTTCCAAGAGTATACATTTTTTGAGAACTTTCACTTTTACGTCATTACATTTACGAACTTAATTGCATACTTTTACTCCGATACATTTTCAATGTTCATCAACACCAATAGGGTACGCCTGTTTTGCAAAGCCAGTCTAAATTTATCCTACACTTGGTTGTGTATATTATAAGTGAATTTAACCTTCAAAGTTTACCAAAATGTAAAAAAATGTACAAGTAAAAGCCATTTCAGATACTTTAATAATTAATTTTACTCAAGTAACATTTCAGTCAGTGACTTGGACTTTTACCAAAGTCATATTTTGGAGAGGTACTTATACTTTTACTTGACTCCGAGATTTTAGTACTTTATACAACACTGTATAAATGTACACTTTTCTAGATCTGCCACTGGTTGAAGTAAACGGGAAAATTACATTTTTGGACCTAAGAAAGTAATTGTGGCAGAAAAAAAAAAAACCCATTTCAGAATTTATAATCTCCATTGAAAAATACTGGTGGCAGTATCATGCTGTGGGAATGCTTCTTCCCTTTCTGCTCTGAACAATCTGAGCAGAAACCTTTTTAGAAGGAAAAAAAAAAACGTTAAAAACGTGCATTGTCTACATCCATTTATGTCAGTTCAGCTAAAAACAAAAATTGGTCTTTCCACATTTACACAAAAGGTAAGACAATGTATATCACCTTTTATATGCATTATAATTCTAGATTTAGCCACTCCTCAAATATAAGCTAAGAATCAATCTGCTTATCTGAACGTCGATGTGGGTTTTAACATCTGAATGTTGCCTTTGTTGCAGAAGTTTTCCTCCCACAGGGAAATTAAATGCAAATTAATCCTCCTGACTCCATTTTAAAAGCTGCATCATCTCTTTTCTCATTCAGAAACGTTACCAGGCCTTGTACAGCTACATGGCAGCAGAGGCAGACGAAGTTTCTCTGCAGGAGGGCGACCTAATCTTAGACGTGGAGCCGATAGACGAAGGCTGGATGTTTGGATGCAACCAGCGCACTGGGAAGAAGGGACTACTGCCAGCTAACTATGTCCGACCTGTTTGAGAAAACTCTTATGCGTTTGTTTTTTTTCCAGATAATGTTACCTTTTTATTGTAGCTGCTTTGGGTTTCGGATTTCTTAGAGAAGCAGCTCTTTTCCCAAAGGTGGACAAGAAAATTATTTCATGCAATTTTAAATTTATCATGTAAATTTGTCTTCGGTTAACAGCAGCTGTAGCTCCACGGTGCATTTAGTTTAATATTTTCCTGGATTTTATGAAGAATTTGAATTAAACTTATACTTTGCTCAGCTGTTCTGTTCCTGTTTTACAAAAACAATGAAAATAGAAAACAAGAAGCTTTATTCAAAATTTTAACACACAACTAAAGGGTAAAATGTCACCATAACAGATTAAAACAGACTTTTCTTTTTATAAATCATGAAGTTAAAAAGAAACAAAACCAAAGCATCATCTTAAGTAAACACAAACAAATTGAAGACAACAAGTAGTGTCTCTGTAAAAGCAGTCCTTCATGCTGTGGACGTAGCTGTCGGCTTCATGGCTGACAAACAGGCCGTCCTTTTGCAGATTTTGGTCTGTAGCTTTGAAGGCAGCCAGCTGAGCAGTGGTCCAAACAACTCAGAGTTTCCTCCAATAAAGTCCTCACACAACCTGGGACATAAATAGCAATAAATCTCCATTAAATATAAAATATGCTCTTTATATTCTATTAAGATATGGACTCAAGCTTTGATATGGAAAGGAAGCTGGTGCACAAAACCGACGATTTCAAAGAGAAAAGTCTTTGTCCTGTGGTAGTCATTTCTCTGAATTTTGAACCAACTTTTAGACAGGCATCAATATATCAATACTCCAAATTAGGTAACAGCAAAAGTCTTATTCACATATCCTCCTAATGTAAGGGACTTTAGTGTTTCCCCCTGTGACAAATAAGTGATTTAAATGTCTTTAATTCTGTTAACAGCTAAATATATAAAGGATAGTTAAATGAAGAAATGCAGGATCTAAAGTGGTTCGATGACTCCCGTATATCTACTAATTTTAGGTCGTTATAAACCATAGCTTTAAATTCAGACACATTGGTCAATTTTAGCTACCCGCCACCCCCCCAACATTAAATACCTTTGATGCAAGCGATATAAACAGCACAGTTACTAGTTGCTATTATTAACCAACTATAAGCTCATAAGCTTCACTCCAACTCTTGAGCTGCATAGGAACTAATAAACAGGCTAAAGGGGAGAGCAGATCGGCTTAATACTATGCAACACAACCTGCAACGAGGAGCGACAAGAAACCAAAGGAATGAGTAGTGGCCAGGCTGGGAATTTATGACAAACGGTGGCATTAGCTTAGACTTTGTGGTACCTGCAGAGAGAATATGGCTGAGTCTGGAAGATGAGAATATCCCTGCACTGATGTTGCCTTGGAGCCCTTAGAACAGCCACCTAAAACGGTTTAAGTAGAAAGCATAAATTAGAAAAAAAAAATTATAAAATCTGGTTAAGCAGCACCAAACAAAAAACATCTGACTTTTATATCCAAATTGTGAAGCAGGACATTTCAGAACAGTGTTACTTGTGTTACAAGAAACCAGAATGTCAAGATTGTAGATGCTTTATTAAATGTGTGAAATCTAGGTAACATCATCGACTAATGTCTGAGACCTTAAACCACTTAAAGGGAATAATGCAAAAGCTTTTATTTCTGGCTCATATTAGTTTGTTTAAACTGGCTTTAAAAAACTACAATTAACTATAAAAAGTTCTGCTACAATCTGTTGATGTAAACCCTGATGTACAAAAGTCTGAATTTTGTGACAGTTGTCATATAAACATGAAAACAGGAAAAATAAAGATGGATTTACATACCGAGTCCACAAGGATGCAGAGATGACTGCTCCCCCCAAAGACCACGACGTCACCGTCACCTCCTAGGCAAGCAGTGTGACAAACCCTGGAAACAAACATGCACTATAAGCTCCACACAAGGGCCTCCAGGAAAGAGTTAATAAAATCAAATAAGACCTGAAAGAGAAGAACCATCCTTCTGTGGATCAGCTATTTTATAGCTATTCAGCAAAAATCTCTTTGCAGAGGTGGGCAGAGTCCACAAAAACTGTACTCAAGAGAAATACTAAATATTTTTACTCAATTTACTCAAGACTAAAAACTAGCCATTAAAAAAAAAAGTAACCTGTGTAAAAAAAACTATTTAGTTTTTAGGCTACTCAAGTACCTGATAACTCATAACCTCTGATTTACTAGTTAAAATTATGTAAAGAAGCAGACAAAAATGTAAACTAATGTGCAACTTATGGCATTTTAAATTTATTTCTGATTATAGAGAATATGAAAAGGAGATTTGTATGCAAAATAACCAATCCTGTAACTTTTTTTAAATTTTAACAGTCATTCTCAAATTTTCAGTTTCCAAGACTCTGCAAATTAATATGTAGATCCAAAACTCCACTTGCCTGCTTGAACCAACCCCAACAGCCCTGGTCAAATCAGATGTCTTCAGCCTCTACTCTCATCCTTAACTCCCATTAATCACTCCTCTCTTACCTCCGTTTTTTTTCCTTTCCTTTTTAACAGTGCAGTAATCACTCCTGCACTGAAGAAACCTGAATAAGATCCTAATGACTACAATAATCTCTGACCCATTTCTAACTGGCCTTTTATTTAAAAATACTTGAAAAAACTGTTTCCTCCCAGCTTCACTCCCATCTAACTCATGATAATCTTTATGAACAATTCCAGTCTGTTTTCCGCCTCCCCCACTGTACTGAAACAGCACTTTTAAAAATCACCGATCATCTTCAATACCACAGAGGGCAACCATTTCATTTATTACCATTTCTTTGTTTTTTAAATGGCCACAACCTTAATTCCCAGAGAACAATGCTACCACTGCTCGTTTCACAATGGGGGTTGTGTGCTTATAATAATGTCCCATCTTTGATCCTTTGCATTTTTTATACCACCTTCCTTTTAACTTGACTGCGCCAGATGGATTTGCTCCGCATATCCATCTGGAAACCTTCCGTTGAAGTAATTTTGAGAAGGGGCGAAAATACTGGTTAGCTGATTGGCCTATGTTGGTGATAGACGGGCCAAATAAACCAATCAGATCAACGAAGCATATGACGTACTAACAGAGCGGCGACGAAAACACAACCACAAGCCAAGCTAACTCTTGCAGAAACCAGTCGGGAGAAGAGCAAAAACATCTTTTCCTCTGAGAAAAGCCTCCAGAGAGTGTTTTGCTCTTCTTTCAGTGAAGAAATACTCTGTAATCCCGATACAACTTGCTCGATAGCCATGTAACGCTAGTTTCATCGGCTGAAGCCGCCATGTTCTTTAGACTGAACTGTCGTGCTTCTCGTTGCGTCACACCTCAACCCGCCTCAAAGCCAACACTGATTGGACGTTCGTTTGGTGAACTGCTCCAAATTTTCTTTAACGGAAAGTAGCCAGACTGATCTGCGAGTGAAACCTTGAAAGCTTGTGAGATCAGGATGGTCTCACGAGGCTACCTTCCTTTAGCCTCATTCTCTAAATTGGTAGAGGAATGCGAGTTAAGAGACTTGAATATCTATGACACTGCAAGTCAAGACTTTAAAGGGGCATTTCATTTGTTATTACATCATGTTATGAATGCGGGCGTACCATAAAGAATAAATTATGAACAGTTTAGTTTGTGCCTTCAAGTCGTTGCACATAGGAAGACGTTACTTGGATATAACCTAACGGAATATCTTCAGAACGGCTCCAAATGACACAAAACTAATATGGATGAGTAGAACATGATGTAATAACGTAAAATCAAGGTCCAAATGTAAAAAAACTGGCGTTCCCCTTTAATACATCGATTTAAACCAAACATTTTTATTACTAAAAGGGAATGCAATATATTAACAAAAGGTACAAGTAAAGACTTTTTCATAAAGCTATAATATGTCCAAGAAATCCATCAAAGCAAACAGATCGGTTACCTAGGCTTGTCTTCGTGTGCGTGCGTCACTTTCGTCCACTCTTTCTTCTGTACGTTAAACAGCCAGGCATCATCTGACAAATCAGTAAACAAAGTGTTATGATTCCTACTAAAAAAAGTAAATAAATCTATCAGATGACCAAAGAGTTTGTTTTTTTTATTTTACACACTGTAACTTAACAGTCTTTGAGTGAGTTTAGCTTACTTAGTGTGTTTCCATCCACGCCAAGACCACCGTATATGAAGATGGTTTGGTCTGATTTGGAGCTCATGGTGTGCATGGAGCGCCCCAGAGGTGCACCAGAGGGGAAGATGTCACTGAGGATACCAGAACAATAAAGGCACTGAATGCACATGCCGGGAATTTCATTAACAGTCACAGCCAATGTGCAGGAGGATTTACAATCGACTCCAAGTCCAGGTCTCTAGGTCCAAAGAGAAAATGTCCAACTCTGCAGTTTCCTGCAGACAAACAGACGGCCATTTTATTTTAGCAGCATAAGGGGAACTGTTCATTAATCTCCTGCTAACAGATGGCATTTTTTCCAATAACAGGAACATTAACAGGGTCTAGCTTTGGGTAAAGGTGATCCAGTCAAACTCTGAATTTATCTCAAAGATGCTGGAGGTGATGGGGCAAGAGGCATGCTCCCACAAGCTCAAAGAACAGCCATTTATCACAGGATCTGCGTTTGTGCAAAGGGCCCACTGTCACATCACAACAGGAAAGAGCTACTGAAAGAGGAAAGGGCTTTACCCAAACTGTCCCTGCAAAGGAGGAAGTCTTATCCTATACAGTGCTATCTTACACATCAACGCATGCTGCAGCAAGAATGCTTTCCAAGAAAAGGAGCAGCTAAAATATTTCAGGGAAGAGAAGGGTGCTACACTCAGTTTGTCCACAAACTCACCACACCACCAGTAATGTAACCTTTGTTCCCCAGCAGAGCACTGGCATGGCAGCCTCTGGGAGTAGGAGCAGGACCCTGGATGAGGGAGGAAAAAGGAAAAAAATAATTAATGTCTATATCTCCAGAGGACAAGAAGAGACTGATTGTAATAAAACTCCAACAGAAAATGTAGATTTTTCTCAGCTTTCTAAACTTCAAGTAAGAGCAAAGACTTTTACATTTCCTCCAATATAAAGAATATTAGAGATTATGTAGCTGTCAGCTTGGTTTTTAATAACAGCATATCAGATCTAGCCCAAAAATCCAATATCATGCATCTCTAATTAAAGCCCAAATAGATGCATTTATTTAGGCAGGAATGCACCACGTTATCTCTCACCCG